CCCTCTACTCAGCCTCTTAGCGGTTACTGTTTGCCGCTACAAAGGGTATTAGTTCCTGATGTTTTTTTGGGAATAAGGGCAGTGTGGCGTGTAGCAGTGATGTGTGTAAATCAGTCAATCCAAGAGAGCTGAAATGCTCCTAAAGATCAAGCAGTTTTAGATTCCCTTGGCACATTAAAAGACTGTCACTAGAACAATCTGTTCTCTAAAAATGAACAGCCCTAACCTGGATGATCTGTAATGAACACACTGCACATCCTTTATTAATAGGCAACATTTCAATAGACAACATTTAGGATGCATCGCTGTCAACATCGAACATTGAAAATAAGGATGATTTCCCAGAATCCATCACCAAAATAAGGGATTTTTTTTTTCTTTTACACGATTCTTACCCTCAAACTTTAAAAATAAAGCACTAACCATTAAAAGTCTAAAGAGTTTATAGTCTACATATGTGTGAGAGAAAGAAAGAGAGAGAGAGTGTGTAATTTAAAATTTTTTAAATACTCTAATATCAGCTTATGAGGGAAAACGACAAGCTTTTGGGAAACGGAGGCGGAGTTAGAGGTGCTTCATAGGCTGAGTGCAAGAGATGATTGGGAGAGGTCTGTGCACCTTTACCTATCAGAGTGTGCGCTGACACGGAGTAAAGCCTTTATACTCGAGTGTGCAAGACTGGCAAGACCTCATTTCGCATGTCTGTGTACAGCTTTTTTTGTGACAGCGCGCGTCGCGCCGTGTCCGAGGATGAACGACTTCAAGCCGAATCTGTCCAAGCTTGTACGTCTCACAGTCAGAGCGTAAAAATATGGGATATTTTATGGGAAAATACTAAAATGGGAAGACAACGGGAAAAAAGCTAAAATACGTGAGAAATTTAGGATAACGAGCTATATAGGATAACGACCTCCATTTGATTTTTTGACAATAACATTTTGTGAAGCAACTATTTGTGAAGGTTCTTTTTATTTCCATCCCTTAAGCCCGGAACACACCAAGCTGACGGTCGGCCGTCCGGCAGATTTTGTGCGTCGGCCAACTTATGCTGCGTTCCAGGCAGGTTTTTGAGCACGTAAATCACGACTTCAAACCACGACTTACGACTTTGTAGCATTCCAGGTCATACACGCCAAACTACCTAGATGTAAACAAACCAGCATGGCGAACCTTACGGGGCTCACGCGCATTTGTAATAATTTCTAACGCCAAAGGTGCTTACTCCTTGTTTATTTGTGGGAAACTGAGGAGGAAAAATAGCGCATGAGGCAAGATAAGCTGTTATACCGTTAATTTTACTTTATTTGTATATTTGGAAATGTATTTGGTATTAATTTATCCTTGCACTCAATGGACTGAAAACTAGTTAACGTTATATTGTCCTAAAGTGTATTCTCACCGAGTACCGCCTGCAGAAACACTGCATCCATAGGGGCTGTCATTGTAGTTTTGTATATGTTCACGGGCAATGTGATGTCAGAACTCGTAACTGGGAGTACATCGGTCTAGTACGAGTTCACGGGTGGGAAGTCACGGGTTTGGCTGCCGTTCCAGTGCACTTTCACGGGTATAAGGTTGGGAAAAACACAGGTTGCCTGGAACGCGGCATAAGTTTCCTTGGTGTGATACGCACGGTTCCGTGCCGTTGGCTGAAAATAGTCCTCGTCGGCTTTGTTTCGCCGATTCGACGTCGGGCCGTTGGGGAAAGAGAGAACTCTGATTGGCTGTTCAGCTTAGTGAAAGAGTCAGTGCACGAGAATAAAAGCAAAACGGCAAGCAAAGAAGTCAAAACGGTAAAGATAGAAGCCTTTTCTTATGTTACGTCTTCTTACCTGTGAGTTCCTTGGCGAATATTTCAATATTAACATGAGCGGAGTGGAATAAGGAAAGTGTTTAGCAGGATTGATATTCAAAACGGTAAGCACACGCTGCTTTGTTTACGGAATGTGTATCTGCAGCCGGCAGCGTCGGGTTTCCTTTTTGAATGACGAATATAGACTAATATATCTGCAGAAATAGACAGTTGGCTCATTACATGCAGGCGCAGAACGCTCATTCTAGCTGTAGTTCTCTCTGTGTGTTCAAGTGCAGCTTTTTACCTCAACGAGAGCGGACGAGAGGCGACAACACAGTCGGCTTTCATCAGCGCTAGTTTCGTTGGCGTCGGCTTGGTGTGTTCCGGGCTTAATTAAGCTTCTTGAAACCCGGGCTGACAAACAGGCACTATAGACCATTTCACAAGATGTAAACAACACTGGTCCAGAAGCACTTCCTGTTTCAGTTTTTTAACACTACATAAAAGCTGGGATAAAATACAACCAACAGAACATTTAAAACTGAATCAAAAAGTTAAACAAACATCTTTAAGATGTTTTCTTTACATGTGAAAGAAAGAAAACAGTTACAAACTGAAACAGGAAGTGCTTCTGGACCAGTGTTGTTTACGTCTTGTGAAATGGTCTATACAATTCTCTGACCTATTGCATCTGTTGTGGTTTGAATGTCCCCCTCTTGGCTGATCTCAGATGTAGATCAATCCACTGATTACTGGAGGTCTCCATCCATGGACAAGAGCATTGAGTGTATTCCCTGTGATGCGGCTAGTATATTTGCTCGGTTGAGGACCAATACAGTGTGTTTACCGACGGGTACTGCATGTACTCAGAATGCTTCGGGAAACTGAAAGACCTTATACTACCAGGTAAATGACTCAGTGATTTTGCAAACGAAAGGCAAATGTGGCCTTAGGAGGTCAAGCGAAAACATGAGGGGTACAAAAGGTTGTCACTGAGGCAGTACACTTAAAGGAACAACTTTGTCAACCTTATCAACCTGTAAAGGTACATTTTAGTGCCTTAGGCCCCATCCACACTACTGCGTTTTCGTTTAAAAACGGAGAATTGAAACGAACACGATCTCCGTCCACACCAGCGTTTCATCTGCGCATTAGAATTGATCTCCGTCCATATTGAAACGACTGAAAACGCGGGTCACGTGACTATTCACCAACACTGGGCATGCGCGCGCCAGTGTAAACAGTGGTAGACGAATCAGGGAAGGACACGCAATGACTGACGACACCCAATCATAGAGCCGAGCGTGAGACTCTGCGTCATTGTTTGTAAACTCCTACATTTTGTCCCGTCTTCACTAAAACGCCCTCCGGAGATTCAAAACGCAAAATGGAGCTGCAGCGTTTCTAAACTTCTCCGTTTTAGGTCTTCGTTTTTCCCGTTTTAGTCTGGACGGGAGGTGCAAACATAGCAAAAGGTCTACGAAACGAAAACAAAACGAAAACGCAGTAGTGTGGACGGGGCCTAAGAGATGTACCTCTACAGTACCACAATGAACATTTAGGGGTAAACGAGGTACAAAGTTGTACCGATGTGACAAGTGTCACAAAACACTCCTATGTTTTGTAAAATTCTATAAAAAAGTAAAAGGATTTAAAAATAAAGATCCACATTGAAATGCAAAAACGGGGCATTCGAATTTTAAGAAAGTGTGTCAGGCAGCCGTATCAGTTGTTCATTCAAAACATTGCAAAATACAAAAGATATTGGTTACGTTAAAGCCGTAACCAGGCCGTTCACACAATGCATTTTCTGTGCTTTGCTTTCTATGAAAACGCGATAGACGGACATACTTGACCTTTGCACTCGCGTCTCGCCAAGAGCCGCGTGTTTCGAAAGCCATGTAAATTTAAAAGAAGTTCAACTTAAAAAAAATCTTTCCATTCCGTTTTCCATTCCATTGCATCTCATGTTTTTAAACACAAAACAGCACGGCTCTTTGTATTAAACTATGCATAAATAAATGACGCCGTTTTGTTCATAATTGTTTACGCAATTTACAAAATTATATTTGATTTATAAACGTTAATTTAAACGTTATGCACTTTTTTTGTACAGACAGTCAAGTTATTTCATTGCTTTGAATAAACAATTTAATGCATTCATTAATATGTTGCGCGTTGTGCCCTCAAAGCTTTTTCAATCTCAATAATATTAGTCATATTTAAAGGAGAACTCCAGCGCAAAATGAACCTTTGGTCTAATTACACATTGTTACCTAGTCAACCGTTATCTGAGAAAAACAGTTTATAACGCTAGTATAACACTAGTATATAGGGCATAGAGTAATGACAAATAAAAATCGCTTGTTATTACCACTAACAAGGCTCAAAATATCCCCACACTAACACGACAGCATAATAAGGGTCCCTACATTCAAACCAAAGCATTGAGAACTTTGTCAGTGTCCATACAGTTTAATAAGAAGATATTTTATACACACAGTCAACTTCGCGAATACAGGAAGAAGCCATCTTTGAAAAATAGTCTCTACCAGTCGATCTACGAATGCCGATCCAAGTGCGCTGGTGAGATGTGAATAAGGTGATAAGGTGAGGGCGAACAGTAGTCTACGTGTACATATTGAAGAGAAGAAAATGGTTTGTGTTTCTTCCGGAAACAACGGACCATATGAGATTCTGCACAGTTCAGCGCACTTGGGTCATTACTCTATGCCCTATATACTAGCGTTATACTAGCGTTATAGGTTAAACAGTTTTTATAGATAAAACTATTTACATTCGGCAATCATGAAAACAAATCTCAGATAACAGTTGACTAGGTAACAATGTGTAATTAGACCAAAGGTTCATTTTGCGCCGGAGTTCTCCTTTAAGTATAAAATTCTAATTAAGTTTTTCTGCCATTTGGACAGACCTACTTCACAACACGACCTTGTTTCTGCAACGACTTTCGGCAAGTTTCCTTTGTCTAACAAGTTGAAAAAGTGACAAAGGCAGTAAAGCTATGTGAAATCGTAGTCAAAACTAATTTTCAGAAATGTGATTCGAATCGGATTTCAAACTACATATGGATGTAGGTTGACACAGATTTGTAAATAATCCCACTGTTAACACTTGCTAAATATGATTGGCTTCCAAAAGGATATGCACATAAATTGGATTTGGTCTTTCTTTGGTGCTCACTTACTTGCTCAAACTCCTCAAGGTCGACTTCTCCGTCTCCATTCAAGTCAAACATCTTGAAAGCAATTTCAAAGTTCCTCTGAGGAGCTGCAGAGACAAGAAACAGAGGATTTGCAACCCAAAGGTATCAAAGGTATGTACTTCACTTACACATAATGGCTATTTCTGAAAAAAAAAAGTCAATCGGACCAAGCACCAAAACACACTGGTAGCCAATCAGCAGTAAGGGGCGTACAGTAATGATGGGGGATGAACTACTATAGAAATAGAGAGTTGGTGGAGCATATACAAAAGAGGAAAAGGCCAAGGGGATATAACTTTAAAAAGAAGGGTTACGATCAGGCAAGAGGTAGGACCCGCAGTAATATTGGAGAGACCTGAAAGCTGACGACGATGTTGCTTTATTTCTTCTCGATACGCGAGTAATGTTGGTTTTACTGTGTCTCATAGAACTAAGATATGCTGTCTTTTGCTTGAATACACTCGTGTGATCTTTCCTTGATTGTTCATCGCATTATTATTAGTATAACCCTGGAACACCTTTACCTCCTCCATCGCCCGATTCAAGCATCTAAGTGTTTCTGAAAAGTGAGATAATATACTCCCTAATATATGGTTTTTATTTTGGTTTCCCCTTTTAGTGATTGCTTTGACCCCTTAATCTTGTCACATTTGTGATATATTAGTTAGCCTACTTGGATTACCGTGATATGTAGGGAGCTGCTCATGAAAACAGTGTTTGTTTTTTGAGATGGAAGGGATGACTTTGCTGTCGAAGGAGTAGAGGAGCTAAATAACAAGATTCAACCTGAGTTATTACAGTAACACAAATTGCATTCACATATTGATGACATCATACCCTCGGGGCGGCAGGCACGGCAGATTCCACCATAGTCATTGGCTGTGTACGTGAATGTGGGGGCGGAGGCATCAAGATAGGGGTGTGTTTATTTCGGGTTGAGGCGTGTTTGTTTTGGTGATTTCAAATATCAACTGTGTTTACCAGAAATCGCTTACTGCATCTTTATTGGTTAAAAATATAATGATCAATATTTTTTCCACTTGTGGCAAGCCGGGCTGGGCAGAGAGCCGGGGGAACGGCGCAAGGCTGGTGGTGTGAGCCTTAATAAACGTCACCACACAGTCCTACAGTCTCATGGAGGACCTCAGGAAGGATAAAAGGAGGAGTGATGACAGTGAAGGATAATAGAAGACCAGGTCTGGGACATTTATGTTGTTTTTAGTTTAGCGACAGTCATCTGTAAGGGGCTGCCACTTTACTTTATTTTTGTTGTTTGTTTATTTTGGGATTAAAGATAATGTTTAACGTTCGCAAGTTCCCGCCTGCTTCTTCCCATAGCATTTAAATGTCATTACAACACTAAATAAAGTATTTTTGACCAAAATATCACTCCATGATCTCTATTCATGTCAGGTGAAGATTTCAGTATGTCAGTGGCCTGATAAAAGCTGTTTAATCCTACATAAAGGCCCGTACATACCGGGACGAATATCAGCACGCGTTATTCGTCAGCGTTTTCAACGCGTTTTTTCAAGCGATTTTCACTGACGATGAGCCGAGTGAACATGCAAATTCATTCCCTGACATTAGATGGCGCCAATTTGCTCTGCAATACCACTCCATAACGTTTCTCTTTTATCAAGATGTTTGTAGTCCCTGTCACATTTGTCATATAGTTCTTTATGTTCTAGCACCAACGAGAACAGCAGCTCTACATTCATCTTGCCTTGCATCTTCCTCGTCTTATTTCTTCCTGGCTGTGTAGACGGCGAAGCGTAGATCTTCTTCACCGTTGCATATGTGTACTCGGCAAGACCGTTTTGTGTTTGAGCGCCCCCAAGTTATGTTTTACTGTCTCTTTAGAAGCTCCAAACACGTGAGCAAAAGCGCCAATCTCATTGGTCGGATAGTTTTTGACGCGGCGCGTCAAACTAAAAAAACGAACCTGAGGCGTTTTTTTTTAAAATGACGCTTTTACGTGTGGCGTTTTATGCGTCAGTGTGAACACTCACTTTGGGGCCCTTTGTTTAGTCACGAGGCGTTAAACGTCGGCGAATAACGCGCGCAAAATTCTTCCCGGTGTGAACAGGCCGTAAGTCGACCTTCTTTCTCAATTTTCCACTTTCATGACATGTTTGTAGCTGCCATGTTTCAGCTACAGAAGCACGCAACATCCGATTGGTGAAGCTTGTTCGCTCTCATTGGCTATTGTGGGTATCCCGTTGGATGCAGCCCGATCAAGAGTCGTAAATATCGGATATATTGGATCGGGGAGGCTCCAACTCAATCGGGAGTACGAAAATAATCTTAATTACACCACAAAATTGAGGAATTTGGAGGACAAGTCTCAAACTGGGCCACGCCCCCGATCGTTTGGGGGGGTGCAAATCGGATCCAAAATCGGGTTTAAAAATTACCAGACTTAGCCACACAAAAAGTGATAGAAAAGAGATAGCCGTGTGTCCACCAAAGCGTTTTTAGCCAGCTGAAAACGCTAGACGCTCTGCTGAAGGGCGCTTGAGCACGTTTTGGCAGTGCAGCGTTTTTTCTGTTGAGACGTTTCGTTGCTATGATACAGAATATCCACCAGCACAGTTTGAATGTTGTGACAGTTGGTCAGTGTGGTTTAGTCCCGCCCCTCCTCCAGTGTGATTGGACGGATGGGTAAAAAGTGACAGTGATGAGCGCTGCATTTTATCCAAAGTTGAACATTTTTCAACTCTCGGCGATCAGTAAAAAAACGCCGGGCGCTCGGCGCTTCAGCGTGAAAAAAACGCTCAGCGCCTCGTTACGCTCACGGCGTTTAAAAAAGGCGGTGCTCCCATTGAAAATATATGCTAGGCGCGTGGAAAAACGCTTTGGTGGACACACGGCCATACAGACAGAAACTCAGAGACTTACTGGAAAGGACGGTTGTGAGGAAGATGTAGTCAGAGAAAGAGATGAGTCCACACTCCCCCAGTGTGTAGAAAATGCTGTCCTCGTCCGCAAACCTCTCCCTGTCCTGAGAGATCTTCTGTAGGTGCCCAGAGAGAAACAGAGGAGAGAGTCAGCAATGCTTCTGTGGAGCACCATCTGACTTCTGAGCTCCACAGAGAAGCAGATACAAGGGAACTAGCATGCTAACACTGCACAGTACAATCATGCAAGTGATGCAGTCATACAAGACACAAGCAAAAGAGATAACAACATGAAAAGATCATTAAAGCAGACATTTCAGAAGTGTCACTTAAAGAACAGCGCATAAGATTGGCTGTTTCAAAACCAAGTGAGCTGCCTACCTAGACAGCATTTTTTTGGCATGGTCAAACAATCAAATCAAGGGGGTCCCCATCGTAGATCTCTCTCAATGTTTAAATCAAGTGGATTGTCTTGCTTAAACAACATTTTTGAGCACCATATTTAAGGCCAAATGTTTGACCAAAGTAGATATCCTACCTAAATAGCATTTTTGGGCATTATATGAATGTGCAAATGCTCAAATTAAAGGAGTAGTTCACTTTTAAAAAAAACTTTTGCTGATGATTTACTCACCCCCATGTCATCCAAGATGTCCATGTCTTTCTTTCTTCAGTCGAAAAGAAATTAAGGTTTTTGATGAAAACATTCCAGTATTTACTCTATATAATGGACTTCAATGGGAACCAAATGGTTCAAGGTCCAAATGAGAGTTTCAGTGCAAACTGCAAACTGTTCAAAGCGCTTTAACCGATTCCAGATGATGAATAAGGGTCTTATCAAGCGAAACGATCGCTCATTTAAAAAATGAATAAAAAAAGTTTAAGTTTTATAAGCTCAAATGGTCGCCTTGCTCTGTTCTGTGATGCGCGTTCGTGAGTCTCCTGTTCGAACTCATTCATCTTTTTCGAGTCATGACTCGAAGGGTTCTAGATCAGACCCTTATTCATTGTCTGGTGTCGTTTAAAGCCCTTTGAAGCAGCACTGAAACTGTCTTTTGGACCATTTGGTTCCCATTGAAGTCCATTATATGGAGAAAAATCCTGGAATGTTTTCATCAAAAACCTTCATTTCTTTTCGACTGAAGAAAGAAAGACATGGACATCTTGGATGACATGGGGGTGAGTAAATTTAAAGCAAATTTTTTTTAAAAGTGAACTAATCCTTTGAGAGGGGTTTCTACGTAAACATTTTGGTCATCGGAGAAGCATTTGACCATTTGAATCAAGGGCTTATGCACATTTTCATAATCATATGCGTGTTTAAATGTTCAAATCAAGAGAGTTGACCATCTAAACTGCAGTAGGTGCATACCTAACAGCGCGTGATTGATGATGCTCAACAATGTTGTCTAGGTAACCAGCTCTGATATGTGTATATTGAACAACAACACGGTAAACCACTGATTTGGCTTCACAAATCGCGAGATCACACTGTATTTGTCATTTCTGCAGTAAACTGTTCACATTCTATGAGCATGTGCGAAAGTGACTCCACAGTGGTGTGAACACAGTTTTCTACCTGTTTTTGACATAGAAAGACAGAAAATGTACTCATTAGGACCCTCAAGTGTGAAAGTACAAACACAAATACTGTACACACACACAAATAGCATGCCAGAGTTCAGCTTTTTGCCGATTTATTGTTACCTCTGTCTGGGGTGGTTCCCATCAGTGTGTTGTGGGGAAGAGAGAATGGATTAAAACAACCTGACCATTGGCGCAGACAATCAGGCCCACCACACACCACAACATACACCCAATTCCAGCCATTTTCACTTCATGCTAACACACCTTTATGCAGCGTCCCACACATACTTCCTCTGTGGCAACATGATACAAGCTGATAACACATGATACACATAGCATCAGTAATCAAAAACAGAAAGTTCGATTTCCCCCTGAAACTCTTATTAGCGGTGTTCGCTAATGCTAGCATTGCTACTGCTATTACTTGAACCCCTTCGCCGAATTTTTGCTTAAAATACCTTCAGCAAATATCTGTCAAACATTTTTGTATAATGACACTGTGCTAGTTGTCATTCGTATCACTTTCTCACCAATTTGAACTCAACTGTTGAAATCATATGACTAACCAAATACTACTCACTTTATCATCATCAAAATATTTTAAATGATTTCCACTCACATCAAGTGAATATTCCAGTAATACCATTGGCCTAATAATCCTACAGTACATAAGGGTGGTCCATCCTCATGGTGGCTGCCATGTTGAAATCACATGCTACACACTTCCCTATTACGGGATGCTTCTAGGTTGCAGAATAAACTACTGGGTGAAAAACATGCCTGTGAATAATAACTTCTGATTTTTGCGTGACGCACACCAATATATGTTAGTATTAAGTCTATTTGAATCAGTATTTCATGTCCATTTATTAAGTAGCATTTTAAAGATTCAGATCAAAATCCTGATCACCCTGTCAGGCTTAATTTAAAAGCTGACTGCATGGCACACTATTGTTTACTTATTATATCTGCACCACTTTTGCTGTGGACATGAATGCTAACTAAAATTGTGTGTTGAGGAGACGCGTGATATTGCTAATCTAAATTTTACCAGGTGGGTAAAAAGATGTCAAGGGCTTAATGGTAGCAAGTTAATGAAAACGAGTGAGAAATCATTCAGCGTGATGCTCACAGTGCATACATATTCTGTAGCAGCTACACGTTCAGAGTACATCAGTCGTATACTCGTTATTGAGGTCTATTATGGGATGTAATGACTGCACTCAATAATGTCCACTAAGGTTTCGGATACCACTGCAAATGTCTTTCCCCGCAAACAGTGCACTATTTAAAGGGATATACTCAACCCAAAAATGAAAATTCTGTCATCATTTATCTCACCCTCAAGTTGTAATTGTTTTATTGTAAGTTGTATTAGAACTTTGGCACCATTGACTTCTGTAGTATTTTTTTTTTCTTCTACAATTGAGAAATTGAAACTTGCTGGCCTCGAAAAGTTATTAAATACATATAGTTAAAATTAGGGTATTGAGACAAATTTCACAATTTGATTTCGATTCACAAGCTTGCAATTCGATTCGATTTCGATTCGATTCAATATTGATTATTTTGGATATCAGTTACAATAAATGGCAATTTTTGTCAATTTTTTTTATCAAATCTCTTAACTAATGCTGTAAACTATGGGAGTCTAGTTGTAGCCTACTAAGCTTCATCAGCCCAATAATTAACTGTTTTGTAGCTATACAAACACTTAAATTACACTTTTATTTATTTTTATAATAAGAAGATTATATGAAATATAAACATTTAAATGGTGGCTGTCATAAAAACTTGCCAGATTTATTCAAATATGCATTAAATATTGAAGAACATTAAGATTATAATGCATATGTAATATGGTGTATATATTTAGCAAAATGCTCCTCTCTGGAGTTATTTTTTTTTCTAGCCGACTAACGAGTTGATGTGGGTTTTCTGAGGTAAATATGACGATACATGACATTGATTACAAGCTGTTTAACTGACGTCTTTTCACGGTTGAAACGCTGATTGAGCGAATCAATGTGACATGATAAGGATTTCGATAAGTTGTACTCTATGTTTTAACACACTTTCAGATGCTCATTCATGTTTTTTCGCGCTGTAACTGGTATTATTAAGCCGGAAGAGAGATCAGCGCTGCGCCAGAGCGATCTCACGCCACAGCGCCAAAACGTAATTTATGTTTTTGAATTTCTAAGGAAAATGAACGTAATTTGAAAACTGAGACTTTGTTTCATATCAATAGTAACAAAGGACAAAGATGATTGCGATTTTTTGGTTGCGCGCAGCCGCGATACAATCTTCCATTCATTCAAATGAAACAGGATGACTAATCGATACTTGAGATTTAAGAATCGATATCGGTTCGTAAAAATGAGAATCGATTAATATCTAGAAATCGATATTTATTACCCAGCCCTAGTTAAAATAGTCCACGTGACTTCGGTGGCTCAATCTTAACTTTATCAAGCGACAAGAATACGTTTTGTGCGCAAAAACAAACAAAAAATAACGACTTTATTTCAACTATTCACTTACTTCTCTATGGGCCTGTAGTCAGTTAACGTAGTGTGATGGCGTAGAGCTAAGTCACACGTAGGCTCACTGTTGGCCGACGCTGGTCATGTGTGTGATGCGTGTGACGTACAACGACAGAAGCTTAGGTTATTAAACTAGTAACCTGACTCGCGGCAGAGAGAGAAGTAAATGAATAGTTGAAATAAAGTCGTTATTTTTGTTGTTTTTCTGCGCGCAAAAAGTTTTCTAGTCGTTTGATAAACTTAAGATTGAGCCACTGTAGTCACTTGGACTATTTTAACGATGTCTTTAATAACTTTGAGGCCAGCAAGTTTCAATACCTCAAGAAGCCTATGGATTAGTATGCAGGAGTGATCCAGCTCTCGAAGATGAACGAAGATCTTTTGGGGTTGGAACAACATGAGGGTGAGTAAATACTGACAGAATTTTCATTTTTGGGTGGAGTATCCCTTTAAGTGGATATAGCATGTGATTTAAGAACACCCTGTCATTGCAACCACCTAGAACACCCAAGCAACTGCATATAGGAACCATATTGTTTTCACACCATTGAATTTGACCACATGGAGGGTCAAGCGTGTGCATTGGGGACAAGGTAAACAGGTTATTTTTGTACCGGCTCTGAAACTAGTCAGAGTGGGAATACGCTCAAGCAGCTATAGCAGGTGTGGCGGTTGACGCAGACAAAACCAAATGTGTTTGTGTGGGCTAATAAGCTCTGGGCACACTGTGTCCCTCTTGTCACCTTCAGAGACGCTCAAGCAGTCTTACCCAACATTAGCAGTGCGGGTGTCAAACACATGGCATTTCAGTGCAAAACTATAACAGCCTTTCTACAGTCTCTGTAATCCACAATCTCAATGTAGACATATTGCCAACATGTTAACGTTTTTGTTTTTATATATTTATCTTTTACCCATGACATTGACAGAATTTTCCATCTTTCTCTGTTTCCACTGTTATATGGTAGAGAGCACTATTATACATCTTTTGAAAGAGTACAGAATCTCTAGATCCAAAAACATAAAAGCAGAAACAAGCGATAGCAAATGTAAGCAGATGCATAAGTAAAATAAAATAAAAAACTGCCAAATGTTACTGAATGAAATGTCGACCCAGGATATTTCTTTTTCTCTTTTGATATTTCAAAAGTCGTCTGAATGGAAGAAAGGATGTGGGTGGTGAAAAAACGAGAAAGAAACAGAGCTGTGAAAAGCTTTTAAGCAGTCATCTCCAGCCAGAGAAACAGGAGACATTCAGAGCTCAAATACCTCTCATTGGTGCTCATATCAAACTGGGCATGAAAGGTTTTGTCTAGGCTGCTTCACACTTAAAGGATTAGTTAACTTTTGAAAAAACTTTTGAAAAAAGAAATTTAGGTTTTTGATGAAAACATTCCAGGATTTTTCTCCATATAATGGACTTCAATGGGAACCGGATGGTTCAAGTATCAAAAGACGGTTAATAACTGTTTCAGATGCAGCTTCAAATGTCTTTAAACGATATCAGACGATGAATAAGGGTCTTATTATGCGAAACGATCGGTTATTTCAAAACTTATTCCAAAAATGTAACTTTTTTAAAGTACAAATGCTAGCCTTTCTCCATTCTGTGAGGCGCGTTTGCAACGTCACGTATTACGTAATTACGTTCAAAAGGTCACGGGCGACGTAGCCGAAAGTACAGAGTCAGTGTTTACAAGTTGAACGCATAGGTTGAACGTGCAAACTAACTCAAACGCCGTTTACAAAAAAAGGAATTAAAAGGAAAAACAACGATGTCGGACGATTTTGATTCTGTACTTCTGGCTACGTCGCCCGTGACCTTTTGAACGTAATTACGTATTACATGACGTTACAAACGCGCCTCAGAGAATTTAGCAAGGCTAGCATTTGTCCTTATAAAAGTTACATTTTTGGAATAAGCTTTGAAATAACCGATCGTTTCGCATGATAAGACCCTTATTCATCGTCTGGTGTCGTTTAAAGACATTTGAAGCTGCATCTGAAACAGCTATTAACCGTCTTTTGATACTTGAACCATCCGGTTCCCATTGAAGTCCATTATATGGAGAAAAATCCTGGAATGTTTTTCATCAAAACCTAAATTTCTTTTCGACTGAGGAAAGAAAGACATGGACATCTTGGATGACATGGGGGTGAGTAAATTATCAGCAAAAGTTTTTTCAAAAGTGAACTAATCCTTTAATTCAAATTCTTAAACTAACTTTTTATTTTATTACGGTGCAATAACTTACACCTAAAGCTAATTTTTATGAGATTGTTTTAGCAACTCTAACCCCTGAGGCAGTAAATACAGATATCTGACAGCTGAAGGTCACTGCAGAAGCACTAAACTCAAACTAAACGAATAACTAGATTAGAATACAACCTTATGCTAGTTTATATGACAAAAATAGCTAACACAAAAAACATTAACAACACACTAATTCACTGCTGGCCTAGGGGATTTTTTGCTCTATTTTTTCCCTAGATCTTTTAAACAAAGGAGATATTGCCATAATGTATACTACACTGATTTATTGAAATTTGTTTTCTCCAGGTTTAACTACCTAAATAAAACTTGATTCTGGTTTCGAGATGCAAAGTACAGTATGTGAGCTTTCCAAAGGTCACTTCTTCTAAGGCAATGAGCATTTGATGATAATCTCAATGAAATTATAGAAAACAGCTTGTTGATTATGTTTTTTTTTTTTATCAGTGATAATAAATAGAGGTTGCTTTAAGATAATGAAAGTGCCTATGCTCATTTACAGGTTCATAATTCTACTAGAACAGTGGTTCCCAACCCTGGTCACGGAGTACCCCCCTAACAGTGCATTCACACCGGACGCGAATAGCGCATCAAATTTGCACCTACCGCGTCTAGTTATACGCTTGAATACTTTGAATCCATTCGCGCGTTAAGAGCGAAATTGACACGTGTAAAAAATAAAGTTTGAGGCGAAATTTACGCCTTCCGCCTGTCCCGCGAGCCCAGTTTGATGACCTGTTGGATCACCCTCGCCCTCATCCACCTAATCTGTCATTTATTTTTGTTTTGATGATAAAAAGAACCAGCCTCAAAAAGTTATAACCTGTCATGTGATTTTTTTCTCTCTCACGTCCAGACACGAACTTATGCACATGTATGTTGGTTGTCTTTATATTATAATATTATATCTCATATAATCTAGATATGGAATAAATAACATTCAATACAAAATGAACATGTCTCGTATATTGAAATAAAGTTTTAAGTGATAAAACATTTGCTTTGTTGTGCATTAGAACCACACCAGGCATTTAGTCATATTACAAAACAATTTATTGAAGCATCCAGATGCTTCACCACGTGAGCAAGCAGCTAGGCTCCTGATTGGTTAACGCGGCGCGAATTGACGGCAAAGTTCAGATTTTTCAACTCGGTCGGCAGGCGCGAATTTGCGTCAAACACGTGAATGCACAAGTGGCACTAACTAAATCATTCGAGTTTTACGCGCCAGACGCTCAATTTGCGTCGCGCTCTACGCCTCATTTACACCGCAGGAATTTTTTACGCGCATAACGCGTCTTAGCATTGACTTAACATTGAATTCACTCGCACCTGACGTGCTATTCGTGTCCAGTGTGAACGCAACATGACAGTACACATTTTTGACACACCATTTCAGGTTTTGAAGTCTCTGTAAAGTAATGCGTATTCGCATATGACGTTTAGCCTAGAGGAACTAATAGCAGCCTTCAAATGCGTGAACAGAAGTTGTGTTGAAATGCAGTGAATTACAGTTTATCCTTCATTTTAACTTCTTTTGCCTCACATTAATAAACCTTATTCAGAGCAGCGCCATGACAAGTATGAAAGTGAGGCTGTGAGGGAT